ATTTTAAATGATGCCGGTAGTCCAGACTCTTTCTTTACATGCTTTTTCTGTTTAAATGCCTTCATAACCCTTCTATTGCAAGGCATCTGCTCTCACTACACGACTTCCGGTGAGGTTTCAGATCACCAAACACTAGAGATGGATTATGATTTTCTTCTGAAAGGTTAACGTCCACGAACAAGTATATAATGTTCTGGTTAAATTTTCTTAGTATGGAGTCGAAAAACAATTCCGAAAAGTTTGCACGAACGTTGACTCCATTTAAACTCACCTTAGTTGGGGAAAATTCTGAGAGCTTCGTTACCCAATGGATGAGTCGAATTCACACATAAAAAGTTTAAATCCAATCATAGCTGAAACGCTTAATCTCACAACCCCACCTCAGTGAATGGTCGGGATCGTGGTCATTCAATGCGGCAAACGGAAGAGGACGTCTTTGTGTAGGGCAGCAACTCTCTCCCTCGAGTTAACTCTTGATACGTCTGGTATTCCCATGTGGATGATATGCCTTGAAAGTAGGGTATGACAGCGGCTGCGACTTCTCTGACAGTCACAGGCATTTCATCGTCGGCGGTCATCCTATCGGGCTGTCGGTGGGTGGCGTGCCCGACAGTCTGTCTTCCGTTAGGTTTTGACCGGTCATCTGGGTTTTGCCTTCTTGCAGCTTCCTGGCATCTTGAATCTGCCGCTTCCCCGCATCTTGAATCCGCCGCTTCCCGGCATCTTGAATCCGCCGCTTCCCGGCATCTTGAATCCGCCGCTTCCTGGCATCTTGAATCTGCAGCGTCCTCGCATCTCATAAATTCGGCCGGAGTTTCATGCTTCTTTCCACTTTAGTGTGTAGCAAATAGGATATTATGGCTTGTTTTGTGGACAATGCATTCTATACCCTGGGATGACATCCCTCTAAGCCCTTCATGAAGCCTGAAATGGCTGAACCCACATCGCCGAGCTGCAGTGGATTGCTTAACTTGAGTTCCCTCAGAGGGCTTCCTTTTAATTAAGCCCCAGTTCAGCCCAGATGAAGCTGACACGCCCGTCTTCACGTCTGAGATCTGTTGAGGCCGGATGGAATGCGACCTCCTAAAGCATTCTCCACTGAACACCTTTGACAAGACCTCTTTTCCGATAAAATATCGCCTGATATAATGTCCACAGACAAAAGCGAAAAGAGGCAAAACTTTGCAACAACTTAAATATACAAGGTGGGCCATAAATATTCACTCCAAACCGAAGCCTTGTATAATATTTCCTGTACTAACTTCTCATGGAATCAATTGAATGTCAACAAGACACAAGGGCTCAAAGTATTAATTATTCACAAAATGTTTTCGATGCGTCTCTCCGTTCTTCTTGACGGCAACCAGGAATCTCTGAGTCTGTCAGTCAATCACACTGGACGGACTTGGTTTCACTCCTCTTTCGGCACGAACCTCAACTGGTTCAGGTCGCTGGATTTCGTTTATGGGAACTTGCTTCCAGCAGGCTTGGCATACAGTAATCGGTTTGGTTACGGTCAGAGTTGCATGGGGATCGTTAGTATTCTTTTATCCCATCTGCCTCATGGTCAGCCAGACAATTTTTTGAACCTCAAGCCATTTTTAGGAGGATAGGGATTCATGTTAAAACAGCAAAGGTCGACCACAGAAGACTCACATGGAGGTCCCATGCATTTTTTTATTGGCCGTTTTCACGCATACAGAAATAGGACAGTTACACGTGGTATGAATATTTATGGCCCAGCCTGTTCCCAACACCCCAATGAAAAATCAAACTCATTCACACTAACCTTACCACAAAATCCTTTTTCTTCCACCGCTTTCATTCACATTTGGCCAGAGGACAACAAGGTTGTTTTACAAATTCTTGTTTCGAGAGGCTGTTAGAAACAAGCAAAAGATGCAGTGACCGGCACGTCGACAAGACTGAAATCACTTGAGGCATAGTAGAAAAATATAGAACAAGCGCAAAAGCAACAAGCTGGGCAAGTCCAGTCTAGCATGACCAGATGTGACTGGGAGGCGAGGACGAGGTGCAACATTGCCACATGCGACTATGAGCGACTTTAGCTTATAACCCTGTCTAAGCTGCCCAGTACTGCCCCCTCTTCCCTTCATAGGCTTAAAGCGGATCTTAAAGATAGCTGTGGGTATTTGCAGCATACGCAAGTCTACAATGAATATTTTAAAAATCACTGCTTAGGAGTGGAACGTAATACTGGAGACCGATTTTCATTGAACCGATCGGAAAGGATTCCAGAATGCCGACTGTTATTCACCAATTTACGGTACATGGGAAAGCTGACCTGAAGCAGGAGAACCCATACTTTTTCAAAGGGAGGCAATTGCGCCATGACGTATCTGGGTCTGCGGCAGGGTGAAATCAGATCGCGTCAGCCCCACATGGAGGTCCAACGAGGGGATCGCGGCAGTTGGGCTATTATGATTGCGGCAACCTACTGATAAACTCTTTCTTCCAAGAAGATTCAACGTCGCCGTCGTGAGTTCCTGAACAAGGTTTTTTGTAACGATCCAGCACATCACGTACAAAACGAAAAAGCATCGAAAATATATATATCAGCGTCCTGCTTCGGTACAATTACGGGTGAAAATGGTTCAAGTTAAAACGAAAAATTATGTATCGATTCCAAAGTAAAGCATTCCTCCCATACCATTTCCTTCACCTTCCTGTTTTTTTCTCCTTCACCCCATAACATGAATTAAAGAATTGAAAAAGATAAGGAGGATGCTCAACGTACTTCTACTGTCCATTTCCTTCCTCTCGTGTCAATGCAGCCTTCGAGGAGAGAAAATTTGACATTCTAACAAACTCGAGATGTCAACTCAAAGATTTCCTACCAAGGAAAACTTAACCTCAATTGGGGAGAATTCCCAGCTCCTTAAAATATTCATGAACTGCAAAAGAGACACTGTACACCCGGATATTAAGTACTTCAAAATTCTTAGGCATTTAGATGAATCGTATATGTCTCTGTGTTTTAGCTTGGGAACTAAGCACAATTTTAAATTTTTGAATCCCCTTGGACATAAATTTTTTAAATGTGACGCAATATCATACGAAGATGCACCAAATGAAGCACCAACAAGGAGCAGCCGCCGATGCATTCGGACTCTATGCGATCGCGGCACCCCCGAATTGGCGCTTTGAATGACGGGCACCAGCTTTTCTCAGTTATTTTTCATTCAGTTTACTGGAACTATTCAAGCATCATCTTTTCGCAAATGTACGAAAAATAAAATCAATGGCTGATTATTATACATGGGTCTTAGCCACGAGAGGCACTTGACTAGCTCCACAAACACGTAGATCCACACGCAACCATTTGTGGTCCTATTCACGCACAGCCTCGCACAAAAACACAGCCATGTTGACGCAAGCGTTTTTCTGGGCCGATATTGTTTGACTTTTATCATCGTTCCTCACATGCCCTGCTCGCTGCTGACTCCTGAAGGCGTATGAGAGTTTAAAGCGCCGCGAATACCCACAGCCACTTTAAATACTGGGATTTAAAAAAAAGGCTATTTCTGAACAAGCACATAATTTATTAGCCGTTTCTTAAAAAGGGGCAATGAGAGGCATCCAAAAACAAAAGTTTCAAAGGGGCATCAGAATGTAGATCTCTTCAGTTAGCGTCGAAAATACACGTAACGCTCAAATGGAATAAATGCTGATCAACATGACTTCCACTCATGAGCTACCTCGAAGGCAGACGCCCAATCCGACTGCATTTCGAGTACTGGCTCAGGGTACAGACCTGGTCCCACTGGTCCCCATACCGAAAGTCACCACAGTCGCTACCTTACGTCGAGGTTATTACTCCACTCTCAAATTCCACCGACCTATTTGAGAAGTTTCACTGGTTCTTAGGATGATATAGCACAAAAGGCTATTCAGTTACCAATTTAGCTTGCTACTGGGCCTTTAGCAGACATCGTATTAAATAAATCAGAGATTACTTTGCTCTAAGCTATGTAGATAAAATGTTATACTTGTATGTGATTAAAGTTGATTACGTATACATGATAGAATACTGGAAGGGAAACTTAATAGCATACTTATCAACATTTAAGGACTTGGCAGAATTCGAAGGTGGTTATTTATATACCCCTAATCCTGTCGGCTTCATACGTTGGATCCATGGACAGCTAATGAATTTCATCAATGCTTAGTCCTTCCAACTACTCTTTACACGTTAGTTCAAGGAGCAATCACTTCGTCAACTGGCTCCATTCGAATTCAGTGCAGTTATGGATACTTATGAGATCTTCGTTACAGAATAGACAATTTACACATGGGTTCGCATCCCATTGCATCTGAACGTATTAAAGGTATTAAACTAGCCCCACCCATTTAAGCCACTTACCTGATGATTTCCATGAAATACTTCTTGCCAATCCACCGCAGAGAACGAACGGCTGGTATCTCGGCCATTCACAGATAGGAAATGGAGGGAATGAATGGTGGAAGATATGGTGGAGGATGGAAGAGGGAAGATGGAGGGCAGGTTGAGCAGCTGTCCACGCAGATGACATGCCCACAAGCTTCCTGTGGACTTTCCCAAAAGTTCGTCCCAGAAGACAGCCAGCTCCATTCGTCAGATTGTGGAATGTGGTAGGAATTATTTTTTATATTTCTGTCTCTTCTTTCTTCGAAGTAAATTTTACTTTGCTTTTCCAGTATGAGTAATGGTGTACAGGCCAAATCCATTGAACTTAAAGAGATACGTTAAAGTTTAAGAGCAAAACAGACAGTCTGGAAGGCATCATCCTGTGGAACAGTCGCACGCCTTACATGAAGCGCAGAGTGAAAACCCGCGCTTCCGGCAACCGAAGACGCAAGCCAAGTGCCGTGCAATTCAACGAGCGCACACAACCGTCGCACCGACCTGGATGTCGGCAGAAATTGCCACCATTCGGCCATCCGAAATTGCTCGGCAAGAGCCGGCAGAGCCCCCCGACCGACAAGACGAGACAGGAATTTCAGCTTACTTCGTGCTCGAGGAACGAGATCCTGGCCACATTACGGTTCTCCCTCATCCGCCGCGTGTCTCTGGACTTCTTCGCCGCCGCGTTGTTTCTCCTCCGACGGTCCCAGTATCGCTCGTCTTTGAAGACATCCGGCACGGGCTAGAGGCGCAACAGGTCATACCTCTAAATTCACGAAGCAATGTTAGGGCAAGTTACCAAATAAAAAAGCTAGTCGTTGTATGAGGAACATGAGAAGGGCGTTCAAAAAGTTTCTGACCTGTGACATTTCCAGTTGCTATACACCATTCTTCCTTTTCACATGGGAAATTAGATGTCTTTGAAGGTGGCGGGAAATTTTTCACCATATTTGACGTTCATACAATTTTTATGAATAAATAAATTCATGAAACGTGCGACCGAAGGGTCTGCTGAAAGAACACAAAAACTGAAACGAAGACTGGTCAATTTTCTCCACCCAGCAGGAGTTGATCTCCAAAAAGATATTTTAGCTGCTGAAGAGGCAGACTCCAGTTTACAATCTTTCCTTACTCCCAAATAAACACTACTCCAATGCAACTTGGTTTTGTCACTTAGTTACTGGTAATAACCACCCAACAGCAAAAATAAGAGAAAAGGTTTTCTTATAAGGACTGACCTTCTTCTTGGCCTTGCGAGGCTGCAGAGGAGAAGGCTGGAACGTTTTCACCAACAACGCACCCTCCATTGTACTGTCAGAATATGCTGCAATGGAAAGCAACCATGCAGAAGCAAGTTCTCCTCGGAAACAATATTTTAAGGATTATTTGCGGGAGCAAGCAAGATAGAGAAGATATGAGTAGAGATTTCTATCAAATCTAACAAATTTTTGGGATGACTTATGGGCACCAAAAAGGGTGAAGAGCACTTACCAGAGATAATTTGGATTTAACTCTTCTCAGAAACAAATAAGCAGGATTACTTGTAATTACCATTAACAGCTCTATAGGGTTGCTTGTATGCGGGAACGAGTGCCAAAGCTCTTCCCAGAAATCATTTTTGGGGATCACTAGAGGGCACAACTCCTTCCAGAAACGGCTCTTCAGCTCTTCCCAGAAACAAATCTCACGATACCACCCCCGGAGCCCCTGGTCCAAGGCTCACCTGTCCTCGCGGAGGGAGGGGTGAACTCCTGCTGCTGGGCCTCCGTCATCGCCAGCAGCTCTTCCTCCAGTTTCACGAAGGAGTCCATGTCCTCCCGGGTCGTCAACTGCAACATCCCATTGCATCGCGTCGTGCGTGAACGCTTCGGAAATTCAATCCCTTGCATCCCGCGTCCAGACTTCTTTGCGTTTGGATTTGTACACATTTAATGCTTGTTAAATAGAGCGAAAAATCTCGTTTTCAAAGACAGACACTCAAAGGAAAGCAGACAAACTACCAACAATGAACTGGAAAAAAAAAACATCAAAAGTTTGCAGCCAATATTGAAAGACATGTGCGAGAAAGAGTACGGGATGCAACTGGTTCTTTTTCTACAGAGCCCAAGCAAGAGGGACCCCGGCGCGCCTAACTCTCGCTCAACTTTCTGTTCTTCCCATGAAGCTTGGAGGAATCTCCATGAGAACTAAAAAAGCTAAAATTTACCCGATACGATCGTACACCTCCTACATGTGCCTTTACATGTCAATCGCTTTAAATAAAACAGTTTAATAGCGTCTATCCCATAAACCCCGAGCGCTGACTTCTCTCGATTTTCCTTCACATTCCACTACAGAATTCATCTTCGTCGTACCTCGCCACAAAGCTCTCTCGTTCCAGCCTTCCTTCATCCATCCACGCCATCTCTCCCTTCCCAACAGGGCATGGCGAACCACCCAGAACGGGCGCTCGGACGTAGAAAACTCCTGCGACGGAGGCATCAGCGCTCTGTATTTATGAGATAAACCTTATGAGGGCAGTCGATGATGGAGTTTTTCTGAGGGAATCAAGATAGGCACTGCAAGCCCATCAAATAATTTTTCCACCCGGGGATAAGATACCGATACCGCACAACTTTACAGACACTGGTTCAATCATACAGTACGGTACCATTATAGAATACATGGTGTTACTAAAACAGATTTTTTTCCATTGTACATTGCATTTTATTCTCGGATGGTCTTTTAGGTGAGCCTTTATATGTCCTCAACATCACTTTATGGCGATAGCTTGACGGAATGCCTAGATATTACCGGTTGCAACTTTCGTAACGAAGGAATGAATTACTGCCTAGTTGGGGGAAAAGAAAAAGTTGATTAGTTTCTCGTTGAGCAACTTGACATATTCGTAATAAAACTTAACCCTCATCATGGGCTCTCTACCAAGCAACAGCCATACAACGATGCTTCCAAGTAAAACCTCATCAAACGATCTGCAATGAAAAAAATTTGCGATCGGCACCACGTCACAGCTGGACTCCATTGAATCTCTCCGAGTCGGGCTGCAAGGACCATTCACGGCCAAGCCGACCCCGCAATGACTCACATCAGGTCCGTCGTCCATGGCGGCGATGAAGGCGGCCAGGAAATTCTGTGTGGTTCCGGTGCAGTTGGTCCAGGGTCCCTTCTTCACCTCTGGGCATTCCTTCCCTGTCGAGATCAGAAGAAAAAATTGAAATTTAAATTTTCAGTCCAATTTTACGATTAATTACTCTCCCCGTTGCATGTGCGCTTCGCCTGGGTATCGGGCTCAAGCTAATTACCGCGCTTTCTATCGCCAGTAACTAACCATTAAAACTTTTTTTCCCCATATTAAAATGACTCAAAGAAACAGTCGCTAATGATGCGGAGCAGCGGAGACTTTCGCCTTGATTTTTCCATTTTTTATGCAACAAGGGCAAATGGGAATGACGGCTTAATTATAATTTCAATTAATGCCACAGGGCACATCGTTCTTACATCACCTTCAAGCATTACGTGAGATGGCCAGTGGACAACCGTTCCCATCTCATCACTAGGGAGCGGATTTTTATGCTCTAATAAGCCTTAAAATATCCACATACATGTGTTTAAAAATGCCAAAATATGCATGAGTTATGCAAGAATATGGAAAATATGCAAATATATATATTTCTAAATGCAGTACGAAATTTTCGGAAGGACCTTCAATGTACAGGGCGATTCAAAAGTCACCTACATTTTCTTTTGGTGCCGTATATGGTATCAATTGATTTTTCTGCTCCTCCTGAGCAGTTTGTTATAATATTAGTGTGGGGCGATAGATACTTCGGAAGGAACGACCGGAAAGGAGTCATAATTAGCGTAACATTTCTTGACTCTTGGGTCACTCCACACCAAATCGACCAGAGGACGAGCTCAACCATCTTCGATTTTGACAAAAATCGGTATGCATGTAAAGGAATTGATTATAAGAAAATAAATTCCAGAGATTTTTTTATCTCGCTCCGATCTCGAGATATATGCATTTGAGTATCACCTATTTTTGGCTCCTGCCACCTATATGGACTGGAATTGAGAGACTATTTTTGCTATAGCTTCTCTTCTATTCGAGATAAAAGCTTCGTTATGGTGTCATTTTAATTGTGAAACTGCAGTCTTCAGATTGCTAAGACAATTCTAAGAAGCTAAAACAACAACTTACACTTAATCAAACAGTTTAAGTTCAGTGGAAGATATCTACACTTGCCATGGTTGGAACTCGTGGTTCCAATATTCGATTCCAAGTGTATTTTATGCCCTTTCTAAAGATACCAAATTTGATATTACCACGTAATTGCCTCATGAGATATAATCATTTGACGGAAGGAACAGCGTACAGCACAACAGCGCACATTCCCTTGGTTCCAAGCGTAGCTATCTGAGCCCTGTTCCTTCCGAAGTATCCTTCGCCCCACTAATACTACACCAAACTGCTCAGAGGGAGCAGACAAATCGATTGATACCATATACGGCACCAAAAAAAATGTAGGTGACTTTTAAGTCACCCTGTACGTTACATGCCTCTACTGGGTATAGTTGGTCTATTCTTGTCACAACCAGCGGCGAAGCCAGGAATTCGCCAATGGAGGGATAAGGGAAACGAACGGGGACTAGAATTTCCTAAACTCGGGAGGGATGGAGGTGACGGATGAATTTAGAGGAGATTCTGGGGGCTTCACCACCTCATCTCAACGTGGAGTGGATATATCTCAATAACAAATGTGAATGTAAGCGAACACTCTCATCAACACAGAGAGAAGATTCACTCAAAACTAAAAGTAAATAGGGAAGATGACGCGAGGTATATTCGATACCCAGCATCGAAGCCAATAGGCCAGGTACCTTCATGCACCCACAAACTTCACTGTGTCCTAAGTAAAAACAACAGGATAAATAAAATAAAAAAGTTTCAAGTGATGAAGAGCCAATGAACAAGTCTCACCTTCCATGACTTTCCAACCCATGACTTCGTTCCACAACAGGCGTCCATTAAGCATTTCACTTACTGCTAGTGGGGTCACGAACAGTCGAGTTCCAAACGAATGTGCTCGTCGACGAGGAAAGACAAGCCTTAAATGGAATTGGAGATCGAGGCAAGCACGCGCATTGGCTTCTTTCCCCCACTGCAGCCATGCAACGTGACTGATGATCACCCGTTCAGTCCTCCCACATCGCTCCTGCTCCTCCTCCTCCCCCTCCCCGCTTCCCCCCCCCCCTCTCTCCCCCTCCCCCTACCCCCCTTCCTCCACCTCTCTCCTCCTCCCCACCATCTCTCTCCTCTACCTTTAGCATTCACCCTGGCAGAAAATGAAACCTTTGGCTTCGGAACTTGAGAACTCAGCTACAACACAGCTATTTCCAAGAAGAAACTCGTGGAAATTGAGCCAAGACGAAATAATAAAAATATATCAAGGGGGAAGTACGTGGAGGGGCACGCAGGGAGGCACGCGGAGCGAGGCTATAGCTTATTCCTCGTGTTCATGATAGCTCCTTCCCCTCTAGAACCTCCCTCGTGGCCTCCCTCTCCCCATCCGAGCTCATCAGAGTCTCAATTACAAAGCGGATCTTTCTACACGTTTAATCCGGAAAAAGACCCTCCACCTGCCGATCTCCCTCTCGGTGGCTTGGATCCGGGACCAGCGAGAGGATTTTCATGAGTTGCACACGCAATCGCATAATGAGATAATTGGTGATTATCAAGCCTGGAATATTCCAGAAAAAAAATATCCAAGAGACCTCTAATGAGCCTAAACGGCTCATTCGGTGCCATTCAGCATCATATGGTAGTCACCATTCAGAGCGGGATGCTCGCAACTACTGTTCGAGATGTAACATATGAAGAAAGATCAGCGAAGAAGCCAATACATCTGCCTGAACGACTTAAAAACTGCATTCTAGTTGGGATTTCGTTGTAAGAGTGACCCGAAAAGGCAACAGTAGAACTTCTGTCAGATAAATATCTGAACTGGAACTAAAATGGAACTGCCGCTTTGACATCATTCATTCCCAGGCTGGTGTTTCCCTCAAACGGGGGGCGGGGATAACGGGGAAAAAAAAATAGTATCGCGAACACCATTTTTCTAAGGCTTCCCTCTTCCTTTTCAAATTCTCCCTTAAAAATTACTAGACCTGCGTCAACCTTTTCTCGCTCCAAAGAATCTCAACCCTCGACTTAAGAGCTAGTTAGACAGATAGGAAACTCGGTGTATTCGAAACATCTCGAAGAGATGTAACCTTAACCCTGTCTAATGCTACTCAAACCATCTCCACGAAGTTTCCGGAGCGAATGCCTCCGAAATTCAAATGCATGTTGGACGCCATCCTGCTGATGCAGGGATGTCCTATTCCAACCACATTCATCGGCCACCGCTAACCCATTGTTTCAATCTCTCCGCATCCCCATCAACTCAACACAAAAAGGTATGACACATGAAAGTGGATATTTCAAACGACACCAGAAGTAATAGAGAATTTAAAATGAAAAAAACAGCAAAATGAGTAGTTTTATTTTAAATTTTTTTTTTAACTTAGAAGGTAATGCTGTCTGATTACACTTTTCTGATTACATATTTCTCATTACTAATTATTTTCAACCATAATGGGTAACGGCAATGTTTTCAAACGAAAGCAAAGCCGAATGAGTTTTGAAGATAGCGGCGTGCATTTCAGGAATTAATCAGTATCATATTTTGCCTGAAAAACCACTTTTTTCCACACAAATCATTTATATTAGTAAACACGCGTTAAATCCTCACATATTGCGGTACCGCCGCCTTGCATAGGGCAATAAGGGTCACGTTAACGTGTTCTAGCGTGATTTAACCCTGGATTGCTCACCTCAGTTTAATTGTGTGATCAAAGGAAAAATATGAATAGGCGCGAGTCAGAAATGCTCAACTTCACTGACACAGCTTTCGAGAGGAACGTCTTCAAGAATACAGGTCATCTAGTGCACCGAAAAAAAAACGAGGGAGGCTTAGGTCTATAAAATGTGTTGCATACTGTTACTGCTGCTATTCAAATTAATAATCACACCGCTGTAGTACTGATCTTGCAATCGCCAATGACTGAAAATCCAGCTCATCGCCCAGAAGCGAAGAGCAAGGAGCACTAACAGAAGGGAGAGGGAGGAGAAGGGGGGGGGGGAGGGGGGCACTTGCGTGGCGTTGTTCTACAATCTCAAGCTAGGTCCAGCTGTTCCAACTTTTTTGAACGTGCCTTCGTTAAGCGGTATCGACTCGAAATTACACAGAGGTTCAATGGGATCTGGTCTGTCTGCAAAGACTCGTCTGAGCATAATGGCGGTCCAGCACGAGGCGTTGCCAATGGACTCGATGCAACTGTGTTGCTGCATCTTTCACCAATAAATATGGATTATTCAGCATTATCGATGAAAAAGGGCCTCTGGACATACTCTATTATAATTACGAACTGATGCATAAATACTATGCAACATCATAGAATGCAGTTCGAAAAACGCCTCTTTCATAATCGAGCCAATTCTAGGAATTCAGCATTATCGGAAAGTACTCTGTTCAAAAATCCGCCCAAAAACACCAAGCGAGGCAACGACACGAGAGCAGAAATAGCCACGAATCTAACACAACTCCAACACGATATTCCGCACGTGACTGCATCCCGCACGATAAGCCCAAGCAATTTCATTTTCATATCGAAAGGGTGCACCGTTAACAGCAGGGGCACATGTCCTTTTGATTAGGCTCTCCTCTCCAGCATCGCCTCGAGCATTGATGGTATTTCGATGAGCATCAGGGATGAGGGTCATTACATAATTCTTCGCACGTGGCCGTGGCCTCCTGATCGGCCTAACATGTCACGCAATTCACAAGAACCGACAGAGATAATAAGACGTGTCACAAGGCTCGTGAGCCATGATCTTGAGTTGCATACAGGGTGACCCACATCAAAATTTTACTGATGAATGGCCACGTACAACATAAACCAATAGACGGAAGCTGAAACCTTAGCACGGAAACTACTGGCAGCAGGGGATAAAGAAAATAGCAGTAGAGAGCACCATCAGCGCAAATTTTACAAGCAACGTGGCCGGTACAAAAGATATTTTGTAAAGTGGAAAGTCAACATGTTAGTGCTCGCTACGAAAATCGAACTGATACAGAAGTTTGATGAAGGCCACCTTACCAAGCCACATCGTGCGCCAAATCCATATTCACGAACGGCGTTGGGGAAACTCAGGGCAAATTTTGAAAAGACGGGATCTATGGCCAAATACGCCGAGGAGAGGAGGCCATAGGGTTTCGTCAGACGTTTCTGATGCATGTTCCTCACTTTCTTAAAAGCCCATGCTGCCAGGAGTAGAGTGCTACGTTTCAGCTTCTTCCGTCCCTTGCTTTGTATTAAGCATGACCAGTCATCGGTAAATTTTTCAAACTGTTCAACCTATATAGGCCATAAAGATCGACCCTTTCCTGTATCGAAGTTTTGCTCTATAACTCATGGTTTCATTCAGTTTGCTTTGAAATAGTGATTTAGAAATATTGTTCGGTGCAACCACAGGTTCGGAAAGGGAAACGGATTTTACGGAAACCTTGTTTCATTGCACCTGGCGTTTCCCCTCCCCAAATGTCAGAAGTGATGCGTAAAAAAATCCATCCGTGAAATTTTTGCATTAAGTCTATTTGCTAATCTCTCTGCGGTCATATATAAAAAAATTTGGCCAATTTTAATATTTTTTTGCTCGAATCGGGTCCGGTCGAGCCGCGAAGTTAGGTAGCATTCAGGGTTCGGGTCGGATGCAGGCCACTTAAATCCTGCCGGATTGGGCTCTAGCAAGCGTGTGGGCACGTGAGGCTGGCGGAAGGGGGACAAGGAGGGAGAAGGTGCGAGAGGATTTGCGAGCGGCCTGTCGTCTGCTAAACTGGTTTTCTGGCGGGAAAAAAATTAAACGCAGATAAAGCGCCACCATTAGGGAACCCGTCCGCCCAGAAGGGCAATCAAGGCCTTGCCTGATTCGTTGGGCGTTCCGCCGCGTTAAAATCGGCATAGGTTAGAGGGGAACTAACTGCCATGCAATTGGGCAGAAATCGCGGTTGTCTCTTAAGGTCGTCGTTCAAAATTCAAGGCGTCTCGCCTTCGTTCCTGAGGGACCCGAGATATACGGGTCCTAAGTTCGAAATAGATCGAACTTGATTTTCGAACTTATTCGCAAACTGCCAAATAAAAACTGTCCACAAGATTTGAACGCCACTTCACAATTACACACAATGCAAAAATATTTTGCCAAAATCCATGTCTCGTACTGAACTTGTGGTAGCACCATTTAGTCACTATTTAGAAGAGAATCTAACAAAGTGAATGAGATCTACTTCATTGTTCTGCGTGGAACGACGCCGGAGGATCGAGAGTCTAAAGAGACCCACCGATTCCGTGACCTTTGACCTTGATGGCCAACCCAAGTGTCCTATGAGTCCTGAAAAGTGGTTCTCCCAGGTCCCTAGCAACGATCGTCAGGAGTAAATTCACGACCATAACTGAAAATGTGAGTCTGACCAAACGCTAAACAGAAAGTGCAGAATCGCACTTTCAAGACTTTCCGAATTTACTCCAGTAAAAACCGGTTGATGGCTGACCTTTCTTCGCGGGGAGAAGATCCAGGGCCGGGTCCGCGTCATCCGGGAAGTCCGCATCTGCCGAGGTCGTCGACTGGAACATCAAAGTGGAACGGCTTTAGGACGAGGCTTATGGCGACTCTCGACGCGTTGGCTGCCTGCTTCGTATGCAAACCAATGGAAACTTAAAACTAAACATTTCTAATCGATGTCGAAGCGGCCACACACACACACACACACATCGGGCAAAAATTTAGCTTGGAAGGAGTCTAGAAAAGGGAGCTAAGAAAAGCTCCGGATGAAGGGGATGAAGGACGAAAACTACGGCAGTTGGCGAGTTCGAGTACGTCTCGGGCATC